GAAACAGTTAGAACCCCCCCCCCAAAAAAAAAACATTCTAAACTCTCACCATTGATGTCTGGAGTTAGATCCCTGCAGAGGCCATTTCAAAAGGTATTGGGGTGAATTCAACCCTCCCTGAAGGGATTTTTTTTTACTTTTTGGATTTTTCTGCAGTTTTAGGAAGGCCCATGACTATGTAGGAAAAGCTGTTGGGGAGAGTGAGCCCTCTGTTGGCAGAAATAAGTATCCACACAGAGGGGGCCTCTTGGCTAATAGAATATAGATAGGTAATTATGTATAGGACTGTAAAGAAAATTATGAATTCAGGGAATGAGTGTAGCACCTACTTTCCTAGCAGAAGATTCCATTATCAGTCTCTGATACTTCCAGTTGAATGATCTAAAGTAGCAAGTGTTGGAAAAGGCCTTTCCCTAACTGGGTCTCTAGAAGGCTGCTCTTAAGAGTAGACAATAGTAAGATAGATGGACCAATAATGTATAAGGTAATATCATATGTTACAATTATCTGTAAGCTAGGAGGAGTTGGGGAAAGGGCTAGCTTCCTGACTACCCACTGGCCTCTAAAACTGCTCTGTTCTTTCCTGTATATCCTTGTGTTACTCCTACAGACCATACCTCTGTTCATCTTCCACCTCTACCAATTCTAGACTCACCTTCACTATATTTACATACTAGTCGCATCTTTCTTGGATTGTTTCTCCTACCTTATACTTTGGGTTGCATTTTAAACTTGCTGTTCCCTTTTTAATTGCTTTTTCCATTTTACTGCCCAGCCTCAAGCCTTGTGCCTACCTTAATTTCACTAACATAAAGATGCTGAAGTCTTACTATTTTTAGGCCTCTGCAATCAGGTTGAATCTTTGGTCAGCTCTCAGACTGTCTTACATAAGGCAGCATCAAAAAACAACTATAGATAAAGTCTGCAGCACTGTAGAATTATCGATGCTATGTATGTGCAGACCTAATCAGAAATCTGTATGGGATACCATTAAAATTCCATGCAAAAGCAGGATAGACATAGATTAGATTTAAAGGAACATGATCATAGCTCCCCTAATGGAATGGATCTTTCCCAGTTCTTCCTTTCTTTAACAATTTGTTCTTGCACTCTCCAAAGAGTGACTCCTGAGATTTAGGAAGCCTTCTGAAGTGGCATGAATCAGTAACCAGGGGGAAGGTCAGAATGTAATAGGCTGCATATTGGTGCTTTATTCTCTCTGCTTTAATACATACCAACATTTTCCATGTGATACTTCAGCATGAAGAGTTATATAGCATTGTGGCATGAAAACTCCCAATGCCAGCCTGAAGATTCAAGTGGAGAAAAGCACTATGTGTTACAGGAATGGCAAGGTTTAAGCAGAGGTTCTTCTCTAGTCAGCCTACATTTGATAAACATTTTTTTTGTCATGGAGTCACAGCTGACTTATGTCGACCCTGTGGGGTTTTCAAGACAAGAGACGTTCAGAGGTGGTTTGCTATTGCCTCCCTCTTCATCATGACCCTGATCTTCCTTGGTGGTCTCCCATTCAATTACTAACCAGAGCCGACCCTGCTTAGCTTCCCTTCGCCGATCTGACGAGATGGAGCTGGCCTGGGCTATCCAGGTCAGGGCACCTGATAAACATAGCATATGTTCGTTTCAGTCTGTAGGATTTTAACTCAGTGGTGATCCCAGAACAAAAGCATAGTGTGCTAAAGTTCAGCTTGGTTGGATGCCTGAAACAAAATAATTTTACCATTTATTTTGTATGTATCTTTTAATATACCTTTATTAAAGGAAAATTGAAACTGAAAAATATATAAAGCATTAGCATCCACTTTAATTTTGCACAGGTGAGTTCATTAATATCAATATTTTTGGATGCCTACCATATGAACATGTATTCTGCCTTTTATTGGGTCAACAATAAAACGAAACTACATGATCCAAGGATAATCTGAAAACATATCATGGTGGATACATCTCTTAATGATAACAATCAACATAATAATGGTAATAAGGTAAAGCCATAAAATATGAACAAGGACAAATATGCATTGCTATCAATATCTTAATCATTTATATCTTATTTATATCTTAATTATTTATAGGTTCATTATAGGTATATAGGGAACAAATGACATGCATAACAATTCTGGACATTCACAACAATGAATGAAAATCCAGATAGTATCAAGTTTCAAAAGACCACCTTGTCAAAAACCTTTACAAAGCAGTTCTTTCCAGAGGCAATATTCCTTTAAAGATGATTTACACAACTGTGGAGGCAGCTGAATTCATGAATCTATAATACTTTTACAAATGTTTTCCCTTGGTTATCATCACTGCTCGTCTGTGTTTTCATGACTTCGTCTTGTGCGATGTGTTATCCATATTGGGTTTTTTTTCATATTATCTTTGGGTTGTGTGGTTTTGTTTTCTTGTGGGGATCTTCCTCTTATTTATACTGAATCGAACTATTGGTCCACCTAGCTTGCTATTGTATATTGTATATACCTTTTTGTTTCCCAATCCTGCTATCTCAGAATCTTTTAAGAGGAGATGTGAGAGACTGAATAATGGAACTCATATATGCAAAACACGTAATCTGCTACTGTCCCATAAGCTCTCTCGTTAGGTACACATGAGAAAAGAATCAGCACCAAAGAGGTTTCTGCATAAAGAAATTAATAGGAAAAATTTGGAAGCTTACACTTGTTATCTGGAATAAATCTCATTTGCTTTATAGTATAATAACACAGTGCCTATTAACAGTTTATTGCTTTTTGACTACACTGTATATCCTGGTTTGCATAGTATGAATGACTTGTGCATGTAGCATACAGTTTGGTACAATTTCATTTGTATATGTAGTTGTTTACCTGTATCAACTGGACTAAAATCGGTTTGCCCATGCAAATTTCATCCCCCCCCCAATAACATGAATACATTTAAACAGGTAAATGTACCTGGTTTAGGTAACATTCTTGCTGATAGTACGGCAGTGAAACTTTTTCCTGGCATGGAATCCAAAAACTGTTAATGAATATGTAACCCATGTAGGTCCTTCTGTGTCATAGTAGATATTACACAACCAAAAACAGCTATTAAACTGTATGTAATGATCCCCCCCCAGTAGTTATTAAAAACATTCTAGTGAAATGTGTTTCCCCCTTTTGCAATGAAAGATATTCATGTACATTAAGCAGATATTCAGACAATGAACCATTGTATGCCATTCCAATTCTCAGGAGACAACATGACTGTTTTAAACACTGCAGACTGGTTGCTGAGTTGCAGTACTCCCTCTTCTGCAACAAGTATGAGCGATCCTGGTACAGTGCATGTGTGTGGCTGTCTTAATTATTGTTGTGTTGAATATCTAATAGTTTGCTTTGTTCTTTTGATTTGTCATCAAACAACATTCTTCTGCTAATCGGAACCCCTTCTTGTGACATGCCGTGACCGATATTGCATAGTTTCATCCATGGTGATCACTTGGGATGGCTGTTTTGCTTTTGAGCAGAAGTTTTGAAGTAGCTGACCATTTTTCTATAAACGCCATGAAGCCTCCTTTTAGTGTGAATATCTTCTGTTTGTTTTTGGCCTTTAAGAAGCAAACAGGCTTTTCTTATACAGGAACATTAGTACAAGTCCATTTCCCTTTACATTGCTATCGTTACCAAATTACAGACCCAGGATCAGTCTAGTGCCACTGAAGCAGTGAAGGAAAAGTCATTAAAAATTTTCCATAGAAATAAATATCTGTATATAGGGCTATCCATAACAAAGTTTGAGTCCAGTGGCACTTTTAAGACCAACAAGGTTTTATTCAAGGAATAAGCTTCTGTGTGTATGCACTCTTCTTCCCCAAAGTGAAAGCCAGTTTAGTGTAGTGGTTAAAAGTGGCAGAATCTAATCTGGAGAACTGGGTTTGATTCCCCACAGCCAACTGGGTGACCTTTGGTCAATCACAGTTCCCTCAGAGCTGTTCTGTCAAGAGCAGTTATCTCAGAGCTCTCCCATCCCCACCTACCTCACAGGGTTGTTGTGTAGAGAGGTAGGGAAGGAGATTGTAAGCAGAGTTCCCTCTAAGTTGAGGCAGGCGGTGCTGGTGCACAAAATCTTAACAGGCAGCTCAGGGGTTGTGAGCTTCTGCTCATAAGACATTTTTCCTCTCCATTGGAAACAATGGAGGACAGGGGCACCTCCTTTTGGGCTCCATAGAATTGGAACCCCTGGTCCAATCTTTTTGAAACTTGTGGGTGGGTGGGTGAGGAGAGGCACCAACAGCTGTGCTGAAAATTTGATGCTCTACCTAAAAAAATACCCCCCAGAGCCCCAGATACACCCAGATCAATTCTCCATTATAGCTTATGGGGCCTATTGACTATAATGGTCCCCATAGGCTACAATGGAGCTGGGGGAAAATGATTTTTTTTTTGCACACCCCTATTATGCTTTTCAGTATGATTTGTAAACTGCCTTGAGTCACAAGGAAAAGTGGGATATAAATATTTGGATAAATAAGTGGTTTGGACAGGTTAATAGCATTTAAGCAACTTCCTGTTAGGTTAAGCAGGGTTCTGGCAGTGATTGCTCCTCCTCTGTTATACTTGACCTGTAATGCTTGTTGTCATATTTCACTAAAAAAAACCCTAAAGCAGGCTGCAAGAGTTTTTCCTCCCCTAAGTGCTGGTATGTTTTTTAAGGCTCAGCACAAGGCAATGGTCTAAGGCCTGATCTACCAATATAGTGGACTGGGGTGGATAGACCTCCAAAGGCCAGGTCTACCAATATGGTGGAAAGAGTATGGTAGATTTGTTCTCCGGAGGCCAGGTCTACCAATATAGTGGAAACTGGTGGGTAGACCTCTTCTCCGGAGGACAGGTCTACCAATATAGTGGAAAGGTGTGGGTGAAATTTGACATGATTCTGTTTTCTCTCATAATGTTTAAATTATTCTTAACATATAGTTTAAATATAATTTAAAAGACTTTATTCTGAGATTTTTATAAGGTTATAGAAGTAATCTAAAAAACTAATTTATACAATAGTCAAATGTATACTTGCTCACAATTCTAATGCCTCTAGCTTTTTTTGCTCATGAGGTAGAATTTCTGTGGAGCTTAGAGGGAACATTGATTGTAAGCCACTCTGAGACTCTGAGTGAACGGCAGGGTATAAATCCAATCTATCTGTCTCCTCTAAAGCATGGAGGCGACCTTACAGCATGTTCTTATTTGAAGTGGGGTGATTGGCTGTGTAAAGTATATCTCCTGCCCTCTGTAATGTAATGAGGAATTGTAAGTTGGAATGTATTTCTTTGGTTTCTACTCTACACAACCAATCACCCCACTTCAAATAAGAAGATACTGTAAGGTTGCCTCCATACTTTAGGCAGGGTCTCTGTTAATTACTCTCAGAATTCCACAATTAGGGATAAATCTGCCCATCAATCTTCAATTTTGACATATTTATTTCCTTCACTGTGTTCTCCCCTGGAATTAAACCCAAACAAATGGTAACCATATAAACTAAGCTTGTTATTCCTGTTTGGTCCTTGAATCTTTTAAATATCTTCATTATGTTGTATGCTAATTTACTACTCACCCTCTACCTATATGCATGGACCGGTAACTTCCATTTCATTGTATATGAAGAAATGTGCATGCACACTAAAGGTTATGCCTTGAATAAAACTTTGTTGGTCTTAAAGGTGCCACTGGACTCAAACTTTGTTCTGCTATTTCAGACCAACATGGCTACCTACTTGAATCTAAACCTATAGACCTTCTTTGTGGTCTCTGTGCATCACACCTCTGGGATATAGTGTGCCTGCACTATATAGTATAATGGAAAGCAAAAGGAATAATGGAAAGCAAAAGGAATTTTCACGCCCGCTCCCCGGTCACGTGTCGGGCTCTACTACGCATGACCAAGGGAGGGGCACGACAATCCCACCAGTTCTCTTCTGACTGCCGCGCTGGTAGAACTCTCTCCACCTCGGTCGGTAAAACTATACTTTTTTGGGCCTTTAGGCCTCATTTTATTCAAGTTTAGTTAGTTAGGAAAGTTTTTTCAGTTAGATAGTGTTTGTTGGACTTTATTTCTCTACCACCCCTTTTCCCCGGCCTATGGCCGTGTGGTGGGGTTTCTTTAAATGGTGCTTGGAGTGCAGCAGTAAGATCGGCCCCCCCCAACGGATATTCTCTTTGCCTTTTATGTTTGGGGGAATCGCACTGAGTAGACTCTTGCGTCCATTGCTCCAAGTTCTCCAAGCAGACCAGGAAAAATTGGGCTGCTAGACTGCAACTGGCGCTGGTGGAATTCACAGTCTCTCCAGTGACGCCCTCATCTCAGGAGACGTCCAGACATGCATCGATGTCGATGCCAGCATCGGAAGCGACAATCACCATGTCTTCGACGTTGACCTCCATCGATGCCGTAAAATCGGTACTGAAACGCCCAATTCAGGCACAACAGTCCAAAGCCCATACTCCTTCCAAAAAACATTAGGAGGGCAAGGACGTTCGGCTTATCAAGCTTAAGAAGCACAAGAAAGGCTCTCTCATAGCCGCTTCACTTGATTCAACAAGCCAAGGGCAGCCACAAGGTGCACTTTGGTCACCTTCGCTATGCCCCATCCAGTCCCTTGACTCCGACCAGGAGCTGGTCTTGACTCAGGTTCCTCGATCACCCAATGTCGAGAACCTGCACTGAGATCGAAGGACACATAATGTCGTCCCTTCACCTCGGTTCATCCCCGATGAGCGAGATCAATCTCCGACGCCTATTCCACCCATGACATGGGATCAGCGCCAATGGCAATATTTTTACAGAGCCTACCCCTTTTCGGGATCGATGCCGTGGCTCCCTTGTCCCCCCATGGAGTAGGATCGCCAGTCTTCCTTGTCCAGAATTTCTCGGTACCGTGATCCCTCCCTGGCACCGGAATTCGTTAAACCTTCCCAATTGAGACCGATAACTAGAGGTCCAGGTCTTCAGCCGTCGGCACCGAAAACTCCCATACATAGTTAGAACTGATCCTCCAAGTGTCATTCTCCGAATCCTCAAATCTGTCCAGCTCCCCCAGCTCTTACACGGATGAGGAGAGTCCCCATCCACCGATAGAAGCATCCCCTCAGCAACAAGTCGAGGTCGAACTCCCTATTTCACTGTCGGAGGACGTTAAACCCTTTGGGGACTTTATTAAACGTATGGCTCACACACTAGCTCTGCCGACCATCCAGCCTCTGCCGACAGTCACGGACTCAGTCTTTGATATTGTACAAATGGACACTTCAACAGCGGTTGCCCTTCCCATGATGTCGGTCCTTTTGCAAACAGCTAAAGCCCCCTGGACTCATCCTTCCTCTGTATCAATCTCTAATAAGAGGTTGGATCATATGTATAAGATTCAAGAATCTGGGGCAGAATTCCTTTTCGTTCATCCAAAGCCCAAGTTAGTGGTTACGTTCTCGACCAAGGGCAAGAGTACTCATTCTACACCTCCAGATAAAGAGGGACGAAAAATTGATTCTTTCGGCAGAAAATTTTATACTGCTGGAGCTCTGGGTATCAAAACCTCCAGTTATGCAGCCAGATAAAGAGGGACGAAAAATTGATTCTTTCGGCAGAAAATTTTATAAGGCTGGAGCTCTGGGTATCAAAACCTCCAGTTATGCAGCCTGCATGGGACGTTATCAGTATTCCCTCTGGGAACAAATGTCTGAATTTATTTCAACCCTCCCAGATGATTGTAGGCACCAAGCTAGACACATCCAATCAGAGGGGATGCTCTTGGCGAAACATCAACTTAACATATCCAAGCACTCACTGGATACAGCGGCAAAGACTCTCACTTCTGCAGTCGCCTTACGCAGATACATTCCTCCGCCTTGCAGCCAGAAACTAAAACCACTGTAGAAGACCTTCCATTCGAAGGTGATGGACTTTTTAGCTCCACCATGGATGCAGTACTTCAAGAGCTTGACAAAAGCATCAAGACATCTCGCAGCTTAGGGGTTGCACCTCCTCCTAAACTGCATAAGGGAAAACCATGGTCCAAATAATGGTCAGGTAGATCATCGTCTAAATCCTCCTCTGAGCCACACTGGCAAAGGCCTACGATGGAAAACCCAAGTTTTTGTCTATCTATCTAGAACCAAAACTGCTAAGAACACTAAACAGAGCCTTTGATTCACACCTTCTCTCCCAACTCCCTACATGCTTGTCTCCTTACCTGTCGATCTGGGAGTCCATTATGTCGGACCAGTGGGTCCTCTCAATAATAAGAATGGGATACCTGATAGAGTTT